GGTCTGCGGGAGGGGGCTGGACGCAGCCGCTGCAGTGCTGGAGCAGCCGGGCAGTAAACAAGAGTTTGAAAGACCCCCCTCCCCGGCACCCAAAATCCTCGGTCTTGATTCTTCTTCCCCTCCCTTTCTTCCTCTCTTCCCCTCCCACCCTCACATTTTATTCTAACGCTTGGTGCATTGCTTAGAAATAAATTCTCCTTCTGTGAAACCTTGTTAAAAATCGTGTTGACATGGTACAACGTCCTTTGCATGGGCTGCATTACAGTGACTGCTCGCATCCCGACTTTGAACTCCTTCTGGGCGGATTACAGCTACACAGGCAATTGATTAGTAAGATGTAAAGAAAAAAAAAAAAACCCAAATACTGCTTGTGCTAGAAAAAGCCCTGCTCCAGCTCCCATTGCAGAGTGGAGAAATGCGGAGGGGGAAGATTTTAACTCCTCATCAGAAAGGTGCTGGACAGGGGGCTGCCTGTGCTCAGCAGTCTGTGAATTTTGAAGCAGGTGATCTTGTTACCGGGCAAAAGCCTGCTCAGATATATATAAAGCCTTCCTGCCCTTACCCTGGGAGACGCACGGTTGCTGGGTTTGGCGCTGCTGCGTCTCCGCCGCGGGGAGTTGGGGAAGTCTGAGGGACAGGGTTAAACTTTGCAAACCACACATGGAGCGCTGTACCTCTGCTGGCTCATTAATATGATGCTGTCATAGGACTGCAGCACTGCAGTCCGGGGAGAAGTCCGGATTATCCGAGCTATCTGCTGGGTTGCATTTGCAAAGACAGGCAGCCAGACCACGGTTTAACCTCTCCGGAGCTTTAGACAATAAACATAGAGAAAAGGTTTTATTATAATTGAGGCAATCACAGATTCTAAATCTGTTCCATTTATTTTACTAAAAGTTTTCTCCGTAGGCAAAAAGCATCCCTTTGGATTTAGTTGGAAGTCAAAACAAAATTGCCGTCTATTATGGCATTGCGATTTGTTTCTTTCTAGGGAAAAACATATGTTACAATCTGGTTTATTACTGCCTTTTTCCCTGTTCAGTGAAGACTGGGAGGGGGGAACAGATTATGCTTTTATACATATGGAAAACTTACGGGAAAAGAAAATATATGGTTAACAGAGGTGCTTGGGAGCTTTTATTATCCTTTTAATCTTTTGAAAACAAGTGAAGGGTGTTGAACAGCAAGTAAGGAGGGGCATACTGAACTTTGTAATAGAACTCCCTTCCATTAAACACCCTGATGCATGGATTGTTTTAAATCCGTTCACCCAGTATGCAAAAGAAATTGTTGCTTTAAAATCAAGCAGTGATAGCGTTTGACTGACTTATTCAATATTGAAATTCAAGCAATGCAAACTTTTATAGAATACAGTAATTTTGATAATACATATTGATTACCTAAAAAAATCAGGATTTTTAGATGGGAAAAAGTTTGCATTCACAGAGGCATTTACAAGCACGTACAGAAATCCTTCCGAAGTAGAATATATAGTTTTAATTTAAAACAGATTCTTGCAGTGCTGGTTTCTGAGCTGTAATCAGATGCAGGGGGACAGTGCTCCTGCTACGTTATCCTGAAGGTGATTTGAAGGGTAGAATGAGTCAGGGAAATCAGCCTAAAATGTTGCCTAATTTCTGACAAACAACTAACTCCTTGTTCCTTTCTCTCAATACCCACTTTGGAGATTTTGAAATGCAGACGAATATTTCTGCTTATAGAGAACTTTTTGCCTTGAAGTTTAACAAGCCAGCATTGGTACTGGGAGCAAACAGCAACCTGACGTCTCCGGCTTTGAAGCAGAAGCAGGGAAGGAACAGGCACTCCCACAGAGGCGAACAGCAGCAGCATTGATTTTAGTCTTGATTATACGCTATTGACAGGCCTGCGTTAAAGAAATGGTATAGGGGGATGAGGCTGAGTTCTGCAGCTTCCTTAAAAAAAAAAATAATAAAGAAAGAAACAAAATACAGAAGGAGTTGCACAACCGCCTGACTGCTTCCAGGTAAAGAAGTTTAAAATATATCCAATAATAATGAATAAACTTGAATATCTTTTAAAAAATGGTAGGCTCAGATGAGTGGAAGAAAAAGTCTTTTTTTGGGAGTGGGTTTTTTTAGGTTATAGAGAAACAGTAGAAGGAAGAGGACTAGACAGAAAATACAGAGCAGTTGGTTAGAAATATTAACCATTATTTATCAGCTTAAAGGGAGTTTCTCTTGGTAAGTAGCTGCCTATTTTTCATATAAACCTGAATTAAACTTAAGCTTAAGAATTTTAAGCCTGAATAGGTTTTAGTGATGTCCATGCCAGGATGGCAAACAGTAACATCGGAGGGAATTTTGTCAGGGTGAAAAAAGAGTAAGGAAACTAGAATTTGGTCCACTTTTTACGTTCCATACCACAGAGTAATGTGAATTGGTGTGACGCTCCAAGCCAAGGAAGTTCCACCGATTTTATCAGCTGAAGACCTTGACGTCCTAGAACCTTATTTGGTCACCATAAACTTATAATAAATCATGGCCGAGATAATCAGCTGGAGTAAGTTGGTCTCATTCCAGCAGAGCCAAGAGAGCAAAGACAGACATTTCAGCCAGCTGAGGATATTTCCTAATAATATTTATATAGGAATGGCTATGGAAGAAAACACTTGGATTTACGCACGAAGGGCCTAGGGCTGTGCAGTGTTGGGTGCTTCTTGAAAAAGGCTTTAGGACTTCCACTGCTGAGGGACCCAAGAAGTGATCAGCACGTACGGGAGTGCAGAGCACGCTGTGGGACTGGGCCGTCACAGGGAAGAGTGGGGCTGGTGGGCAGCTTCACGGGAAGCTGAACTTTTAGAAGCATTAACTTTTTTGGTTTCGTTTCATAATTTGTTCAGGATCTTGAGATCTGAAATATCAGACTCTGGGGGAGGTTTTATGGTGGGTTATCATGATTGTTCACAAATTATCTTCAGTATCTTTTGGGGACAACTTGGTACAATGAAGGTAAGGGAACGCGGCAGAGGGAAGGGGACCGAACTGTGGGCATCTCACCTCCATCTGCCTCAGAGGTGCTGAGAGCGGTGGCGAGGCCGGGCAACCCAGGTAGCGCAGCTGCGCCGGGCTTTTCGACAGCACGACAGAGCAGAAAACACAAAGGTCCTACTGGGGCAGGCTTGGACTTTGAAAAATTTCTACGTTCATTTTCTCTCTGTTGTAAGCTGGACTTTCTCAAGGCAGAACTGTAACACAACAACATTTTCGTAACACATTTTGCTTTTCCTCACTCCCATTCAGCCAGTGGCTGTATTTCAGGACCTTAAATCAAACATTTCCAGACACTTGCTTTATTTTGCTTGTGCAGAAAGGCTTCATGTTGCGTGTGAAGATAATACATTGCTGAAAGCACAGTCTTAAAGCCGCATTTGCATTCAATTTACCAGTGAATGAAAATTTCTTGCAAATTCCTACAGATCATCACTGAGCTCATTGCTGGTATTCGCTTTCCCCCATTTATTTGCTGCAAGAGCCGCTGAACGCACAGAGCTCAGTTTTTCCTTCAGTGTCAACATCAAGCATGATTTCACAGCTACAAATGTATTTCAGTCTTTCACTAACTTTTAAAAGCTAAACATTTACCATCCCACCTACATCTTTCAGTGGTGTTTTCCTTGCATTTTTAAGACACTGCATTGCACACTGATTTTATGACGTCTGTAGTTGCAGCGTTCCCTTTCATGGCCACCTCCTGCCTTGCTTCAAAGAGCCGGTTCTTTAGCTGGTGTGAATTCACAGAGGAGCAGAATGCC